GGCATAATCGGAGTCATCGAGACGATTTGCTCGACTACAATGGGAACAACGACGCAACGAGTTCCCACGACCAGGAAATCGAGCGTGGTTTACGACCAATATGAAAGAAGAAACTTTCAAGAGATGGACAGAGTGTTGAAGATGCTGGAGCAACTCACTACGAAGCCAATTGACACGAATTTTTCGCTGCCTGAGAAGAACGACGGAGGCATAAATCAATCTGAAGTGACACCGGAAGAACCAAAGAAGAGGGACCCAGTCACCGCATCTGAACTCAAATCTATCCTTGACAAAGCACTTAGATCGGACTCACCGAGTAAGAAGCAGGTGCAGACCACGCAAGTTTCAAACACACAAACGAGGACTAGTGAAACAGCTGATGACGAAGGCAAGATGGAGAAGTTGGTGTCGGAGGTGCGGAGGGATGTGAACGACCTCAAGCTCCTCAGGTACGATCTGGCAGCTGTGAAAGGACCGTTGCAAAATATCAATGAGCCAACACGGACTTGTACACCCATAGTGTCATCGTCCGTGCATCCATTCCAGCCTCCTGGACCAAGTACACGACTACAGGCCTCAGTACACGTCAACCACAGCGCTCCAAGCTGTAGCCGGACCAAACCACAGTCTTCCAAGTCGGAGCGCTATGGTGAGTCCACCCGCAGGCGATGGCACAAATGACCCGCCTGCGGGTGGACTCACCATAGCACAAAAATAAGAACAGATTCACAGATTAGCAACGACAATAGAACGTCTAGTAAATACGGGAAGGATAAGTAAATGTCACCAGTATAATTGACGGTAGTGACTTCTACTTATATCACTTGCACTAGACGGAGAAATTTCGTGGGCAGGTCCGCTGGTTGACCTGTGGATAGCCCAATACCAATCTATTGATTCGTTACTAACGGCTAGTTATAGTGTATACCTTCTCATTTCGCCATGGTGCAGACAGATGTACGTAGGTAAGACAGGAAGGAAACCGGAGAAGAGATGGTGTGAACATGTAAACTTGGTTTGGAACCTGAATAGGGGGGCACAACGTAAGTTGTGCAGTTGGCTACATAAATTTGGTTGGGAAAAGTACGTTCTGATACCAGTATGGACAAGAGTAAAATCAGAGGTAATAGCGATGGAAAATGCACTGATTAAGCAACTCAACCCATTTTTGAACACAAGGGGAAAAGGAAAGAGGATTTGGAAGAACCGGCGAGGAAGGAGAGGAAAGAAACACAGAAGACGATGCATAAATCAGAATATAACGATTTTGTTCAAAACAATACGGTTAGGATACACAACTAGGCTTAATAAACTACTACAGCCAAAAGCGACAATCTAGTTCACGGCGTAAAAAAATGTGGAATGAAAAATGAAAAATAATTAAACGTACATTTGGTTCCACAATTGTTGAAATTAATGACACAAAATTTTAATTAAAAGAATGCAGGAAGAAAATAGAACAAGGTTCTAAGTTCTGTATAATCCAACTTGTGTATACAAAACTCGAAACGAATTGAGATGCATGGAATCATTCGCATCGTGTTACCACCATTCACTAAAGTTGGAATCAACATCAGAAAAAAGAGGTATGAAATTGACATATCTTGAAACAACCATAACAAGGATGGATCATGAGCCCCTTTCGAAGTGTACACATAAACTGAAGAACGAAGCAACACTCCAAGCGGGGTTGTTAGGCTCTCTCTCTCTCATGACATTGCATCACTTCAGGAGTGTTGGTTCCGAGAAGATAAAAGTGCTGACGATAATTGACACATTTCACAGAATGGTAGCGAACACATATGAGGTTGCAGATCTAACCGCGGTATTAACGTTGTTTTGTAGAGAACTCATACTGATGGACTACCCATGGAGAATTACCCGCACGACGATCTGGGCTTTCATCAGTAACTGCAATGACACAAGAGTACAAAATATATTCCGTAAGTATCTGGAAGCAGAAAAAACACCGAACAAGAATTGAAAAGGTAAATAAAATAGAATAAAAACACACGCTACAAAAACACTAAAAAACGCACAAAAAATCGAACTAAAAAATAAAAATCTACAGATATAATAATGCAAGAAGGGCCATATGGGTTTCCAAACATAAGCTTAGAAATGAAGCGAATTAAAATCCACAAGATGTTTTTGGGAGAAACAAGCGATGGAAGTTGAAAAATTCCTCACCTGAGAAGATAATGACGAAACCCATGACCACGTGAAAAACAAAACAAAAGCAAGAAACAAAAACAAAGCCATGAGACAAGTCAGTAATCCACGACGAATATACGGAAAACTTTGACGGAAATACGGCCATAGGGATAACCTCTGAATGTATGAGTATGAAAATCCAAATAACAGACAATAGCACAGAAGCGGACACAGAGATGTAACGTTATATACAAAAACTCGACGACAACGAGAAATCTACGTCAGAAAGAGCAGTATAGAGCAAGACTACGGGAGACACAAAGGAAACGATGATGAGGACGCTGTAGGGCATGTGGACAAGTAGGTGGGGAGGATAAGGAAAATAGGGTATAAATTCAGAGACAGTGGCTGAAATGATTACCTGAGCAGTGAGGTAGAAGGGTAATCGTGACAGTTGTCGCATGCCATGGACATGACGTGTATGCTACGATAGTAAACGGGAATGTGTGTTGCATGGCATGCAGGCACCCATGCATACAGTGGGGGCGGG